CTGAGCTGTCAGCACAGAGTCCGACGCGGGGCTCGAACCCACAAGCCGTGAGATCATGACAGAAGCCAAAGTCGGACGCTTAACCGACTGAGCCACCCAGGCGCCCCAAGATATTATGTTTAAAAACAACTTTATTATACGTGTTGACTACAGATGTTGGCTAAGCTGTCTGTTCCCCCCACGAGCTGGAGAGCGCTCCTAGGAACTTCCTGTTCAGGACAGGAGAGTTGCTTTGGCCAACGGTCCTCGTCTGCCCTGCCCCAGACTGCCGTCTTCTGCCCCAGGCACCTGGCCAGCAGCCAAGCTTACCTTTTACCAGGGTGTGCTTGTCAGTGGGGGACGATCGCGCCAAGACTCGAAGCTTAGGCCAGATCTTGTCCAGCTTCTCTTGCTCCACCTGCCAACGTGAGACCACACCAGGTCAGGCAAGCCCAGAATAGTCATCCAGAAGAAGCTTACTTCTCCCCACGCTCTGAGATTCTGGGGGAGCTGGCATTCCATGGCCCATGGCGGCTGCTACCATGGCCTCCACGGGACATGAAACATCCAGCTGAGTCTCCAAGGGCAGATTCATTGATGGTGACCATTCAGGCTCCGCGTGTCTCTTTTTTCCTCCCAGTTCCCTACTGGGGAGCCAATCCCCTATTTCTTGGAGCCTTGACAGGAGGTGGGCAGGGGTTAGCTGTTGGCTCCAGGGGCTAAAGTGCTTCTAAGGTCTTAGGTGTGGTTTCTATGTAGACCAGGAAGCTCTGGTCTGCTTCACAGCCAGACCACATCCTCTTACAAACCTGTGCCAGCATTAGTCACAGGGTGGTGACACAGGAGGGTGAGGATGGAGGAAATCAGTACAAAATCACTCCTTAACTGAAAAAAATCGGGAAGACGTGAAAAGTTAGTGAGGCTGTCTCAAAAGTTAGCTTATGAATGAAGATAACGAGGAGAAAGGAAACTCACAGTTTTACCCCCTGAGCAGCTTTGGTAGAAGGAACGTCTCGCTATGAATAGATTTTAGTTTAAAAACCACCCACTTGGCAGTACAACTCCTCACAGCTTCCCCTCCCTCCTCTATGGGCTGCTGCCCGATTCATGAAACCATTTAATAAAGCCGATTAGATCTTCCAAAAAAACAAAAACCAAACAAAAACAAACACACGACCACCACAACAAAAGCCAGCTGCTTTCTCCCGTGCGTCCCAGCTGCGCCACACGAGACCCAGGCTTCCCGCCCGCGACCCACCTCGCCCTTCTCGTTGCGGATAAGTCGGTTGAACTCTTTGCCTTCTAAGCACAAGAAGTCATCCCCAGGTGTGACAATGCCACATTTGGTGGCGATGGCCCGGGCTGTGTTGATGTTGTCACCGGTCACCATTCTGACAGTGATGCCAGCTTGTTTGCATTTGGCGATAGCGTCTGGGACCTATGGAGAGTAAGGCAAGGGGAAAGGAGGAGGTGGGGTGATGAGGCCTGCTAGGCTGTCCCCGTTCAGGGTCCCTTCACTGTACACAGGAGACAGGTACCCCAGAAGCAGTGCCATGGGGCGCTGGCTACATCCGGTCATTTTTATATTGTCCAGTGTCACCTCACTTCTGTCCTACCCACGGTACTACATTTGAATTTGCCTTTTAGTGTAACTTGAGTTGAAGAGGAAATTTGCTTCAGGAGCTGGGTGTGAAAGCTTACTCTCCCTGCGATCTAGACTCCTTAGCAGGGCATATACACAGCCCTTTGAGATCTGGCCACCGTCTTCCTCCCTAGCAGACGTTTTTTGCCATTCTCCACCCCCCTGGCCCATACTCCAACCATATCAGTTCTTTGCAGTTTCCCCAATGCGCACTGCCCTCTCCTGCCTGGGGGCCTTGACAACTAACAGTCCATCTGTCTGAATTTCTTTCGAGCAGAGACTTTTTCCGATGCCTTAGCGTCTAGAATAGTGTTCAGCTACCCTAGGGGCGCTCAACAAGAATGTGTTGCTTGAAAGAAGGCGGCTGGAGGCGGGGATGGTGTCCCAGTTAACTCAGCCTCCTGGCCGTTCCAGGTATCAAATCATAAGCTCAATGAAACCTATACTTCTCACCCCTCAGACGGCATTAACCATCAGAATGGCACCTTCTAGCAGTTCAGCACTCTAAAGCAGTTTTGTGAAGCTGGAAGCCTGGGAACATCCATCCCTGCAAGTGAGAAGCTGTTAGGTAACACGCCTGGGGTCACAGCTAGAAATGGAACCAGTACCCCAGTTCCTGTGACTCCTGGGTGGCTTTCCGTTAGACCGTGCTCAGCTTGCACACGCGCCAGGGGCTGTCGGAAGACTTCCATTCATGTTTTCTTACCCTTTGGCCAAGCCAAAGCCTCACCTCTGGGCGCACGGGGTCCTCAATGCCCACCACCGCGACGCAGGTCAGTTCGGTGAGGATCTCGCTCTCGTTGTCCCACGGGGGCTCTCCGTCATTGAAATCCCGGTAAGCTATGCAGATAGTTCGGAGGCCCTCACAGGCCATGGGCTCGATGACAGTGCGCACTATCTCATCTCGGTCCTTGTTCTTGAACGGCACCACTTCCCCTTTCTTGTCCAGGATTCGATTGCACCTGGGGAGGCACACGGTCAGGAAGCAGCACCCCGTCTCACCCAATATGTCTCTACGGTCACCTGCAGACATTCTGGCAACTGTTCTGAGGCCAGACACTGTTCTGAGGCCAGAAATCTCTCATCCCTCTCCCCCAGCTGAGTCCCTTTTTCCAAGGTGGGGAGGTGTGTAGGTGGATAAGGTCCACGTAAGCAGAAGGTGCGGTTCCCCCCTACCATCTGTCCCTACTCATATGTGAAGTCTTTTGGGGATCACCTGCTCTTTTGAACTTCTCAAAGGTGGAGAGACAGCTTTAATTCCCATGACCTAGAATAGTACTCAGTGCATAGGGCGTGTTCCACGGGAATGTGCTCATTGAAGGAAAGTGGCTAATTAGCAGCCAACTAGAGGCACTGGTTAATTCAGCTACTGGCCCTATGCCTACGCCTAACCTTTAAGGACCTGCGAAGAGCCTAGCCACATTGATTAAATTATGCAACTTTCTATAATCAGAACTGAGCGCGAGAAGGAAAACGGAACATAGAGGCACCACTTCTAGTACGTGCTGTGTGCCAGGCATGTTATGTACAGGCATACCTCATTTTGTTTTGTTTTGTTTTTTACAAACTGAAGGTTTGTAGCAACCCTGCATCCAGCAAGTCTGTTGGCACTAATTTTCTAACAGCATTTGTCCACTTCCTGTCTCTGAGTTACGTTTTGGTAAGTTTCACAATACTTTAAACTTTTTCGTTATTATTATATTTGCTATGGTGATCTGTGACCAGTGAGCTTTGATGTTACTATTGTAATTGTTTTGGGACATCAAGAGTCGTGCGCATGTAAGACAGCAAATTTAATCGATAATGTTGTGTGTGTTCTGATTCCACTGCCCAGCTCTTTCCCCGTCTCTCTCCCTATCCCCTGAGAGACAACAGTATTGAAATTAGGCCACTAATAATGCTACAGTGGCCTCTAAGTGCTCAAGTGAAAGGGAGAGGTGCACATCTCTCACTTTAAATCAGAACCTAGAAATGATTAAGCTTGATGAGGAAGGCATGTGGAAAGCCGAGAGAGGCTGAATGTTAGGCCTCTTTCGCCAAATAGCCAAGCTGTGAATGCAAAGGAAAGGTTCTTAGAAGAAATGAAAAGGACTGTTTCCGCGAAACCCAAGTGGTAAGCGCGTGAAACAGCCTTGTTGCTGATATGAAGCAAGTTTGAATGGTCTGGATAGAAGACGAAACCAGCCACAACGGCCCCATAAACCAAAGCCGAATCCAGAGCAAGGCCCTAACTCTCTTAAATTTTATCAAGGCTAAGAGAGGTGAAAAAGCTGCAGAAGAAAAGTCTGAAGATAGCAGAGGTTGGATCATGAGGTCTAAGGAAAGCGGAGATCTCCATAATATAAAAATGGAAGTGCTGATGTAGAATAACGGTGTTGGGAAAACTAGACAGCCACATGGAGCGAGTTCTCCAGAAGGACTAGCTCAGATGATTAACGAAGGTGGCGACACTGAACAGCAGCTTTTCCATGTAGACGCAACAGCCTCATACTGTAAGAAGATGCCATCCAGGACTTTCACAGCTAGAGAGAAGTCAGTGCCTGGGTTCCAAAGTTTCAAAGGACAGCCTTACTTGCTCGTTAGTGGCTAATGCAGCTGGTGAATTTACATTGAAGCTAATGCTCACTTACCATTCTGAAAATCCCAGGGCCCTGAAGAATTATGCTAAATCTACTCTGTCTGTGCTCTCTAAACGGAACAACAAAGCTTGGATGGCAGCACATCTGTTTATAACAAGGCTTACTGAATATTTTAAGTCCACCGTTGAGAGCTGCTGCCCAGAAAAAGACTCCTTTGAAAATATGACTGCTCATTGACAATACACCTGGTCACCCAGGAACTCTGATGGAGACGTCCAACGAGATTAATGTTGTTTTCATGCCTGCTAACACAACATCCATTCTGCAGCCCATGAATCAAGGAGTAATTTCGACTTTCAAGGCTTAGTATTTAAGAAACACATTTTGTAAGGTTATCGATAGAGATTCCTCTGGTGGATCTGGGCAAAGTAAATGGAAACCTCCTTCCAAATGCCATTAAGAACATTCATGATTTATGGGAAGAGGCCTGCATATCAACACGAACAGCCGTTTGGAAGCAATTGATTCCAACCCTCATGGATGACTTTGACCCTTTAGGGGTCAAATGCATCTCTATCAAATAGCATCTCTATAGCATCTCATGCTATAGAGAAACTATTCATGAAAAGAGCCAATCTATGCGGCACACTTCACTGTCTTATTTTAAGAAACTGCCACAGCCACCCCAACCTTCGGCACCCACCGCCCTGATCAGTCAGCAGTCATCAACATCGAGGAAAGAGCCTCCACCAGCAAAAACATTATGATCACTAGGGGCGCCTGGGTGGCTCAGTCAGTTAAGCATCTGACTCTTAATTTCGGCTCAGGTCATGAGCTCACGGTTCATGGGATTGAGTCCTGCGTCAGGCTCTGTGCAGAGCCCGCTCGGGATTCTTTCTCTCCCTCTCTCTCTGCCCCTCCCTAACTCATGCATGCGTGCACACACACTCTCTCTGTCTCAAAATAAATCAATAAACATGAAAAAAAAAAGATTATGATCACTAAAGCTCAGACGATGGTTAGCATTCTTTTAGTAATATTTATAAAATAAGGTATGTTATTTTTAAATATATATATATATACACATCATGTTATGGCACCCCCAATAGACTCTAGTCTAGTGTAAGCACGAGCCGTATATGCATTGGGGAATCAAAAAGATTCATTTGCCTCACTCTGTTGTGGCGATCTAGATCCGAACTCACAACGTCTCTGACGTAGGCCAAAGTTACATTGAACCATTTAATCATAGGAACCCCATGGGCATTATTCTCTGTTTTCAGGCTAGCAAACGAGAGCTTGGATCATTGCGGTCCGAATCCTGGCTGCGCCACTCTTAGCTGTATCACCTTGAGCAAGTTACTTCACCTCCCGGGACCTCTGTTTTCTCATCCGCAAAAGGGGGATAACAACAGTATCTGCTGCACTGAGCTGTGAAGATTAAATGGAACAGGCCACCCGAAGGCATGTGAAAACTGCGTGGCCCCGAGCAAGCGCTCAGATATTGGTTCTGGGGTCACCGCCCCGAAGCGGGGCTCACGTATCATTCCGCGGGGCTCAGCACGGGCGCGGGTTGCCCGGACCTTCCTGGGGGGGAGAATTTCGCAGGGAAGGAGAAGCGGGGGAAGGAAGTGCTCACTTGCGCAAGATAATCTCCGAGGCGCCCTTGCTGTACATGCGGTAGCCCCCGCTGGGCTTCTCGATGACCGTGCTCATGGATTTGCGCACCGAGTTGAAGGTGTACACCTTGTAGAGCTTCTCCTCGGGCACCTCATTGCGCACCGCATGGTAATCCTGCTTCAGGTCTGTGACAAAGCCCAGCAGAGCGCATTCGGTCTTGCTGCCCACCTGCCGCGGCAGACCTCCCTCCTTCTCCGGAGGCTGAGAGAAAAATCATACGTGGCATTTGAGTAACGGGCCTCGACTAGGGAGAGAGCTGAGGAAGGAAAGGACAAAACTTTCATGCGTTTTCTTCCCAAGGGTAAGTGGGCAGTGGGCAGGGGCGACTGTGGTCGCTGGGCCGTCAGGGGCTGCGTTTACCCTGGGGGTGGTGCTGGAATCTCACCCTGTGCGGGTCTCATTCTAACCCCCTCTCTGACTTTCTGGACAATATGTACTTTCCTCCTGGTAAGCCCAATTCCGCTACCAGCACGAGGTCTCTTCCAGAGATTCCGCCCTCAGATGGTGCCTGGTGGGCGCTTCATGGCCGTAGATTTCTACCTGCCTCCCCACCTCCGCTCTCTTCCCACGGATCATTCCCTAGTCACGCCAAACACGTTCAGTGAGGAGTAGGAAACGTGACGGGGGATGGCAATTCAGGCAGAACAAACAAGAGAAAATTGCTCTGTCCAGAGAAGATTGACGGTCCCTTCCGACCACCCCGTTCGAAGTGTCCAGGCAAAGGGAGAGCTTACCAGAATCTTGGAGGTATAGGCACTGTTGATAGAAATGCCATTGACAATAAGGTCCAGGACCTTGGGCAGGAGGACATCAGGGCTCGGGATCTGATGGTAATGGGTGTCTCCAATATAAGCCTGTACCACGGTCATGCGGTTCATGGTCAACGTGCCGGTCTTATCAGAGCAAATGGCTGTGGCGTTGCCCATTGTCTCACAAGCATCCAGGTGCCGCACCAGGTTATTGTCTTTCATCATTTTCTACAAAGGAGATGAGAGCAGACTTGAGAGGGGACCGAATACAGGTCAAAGGCCACATTTCAGCCAACATGTCTCCACCTCTCCTCCTCTTGTTGGCACAAAAACGCAGGATACCATTGTGGCGAATCCTCCTTAGATTCCACTGGCTTCCCGAAACACTGATGCGGCTGATCAAGAGGGTATTTCACCTGTGAGCAGTGCCAGCGGCCTCTGCCCCTGCGAGGTGCCACGCAGGGTCTGGGGAGATGGCCCGGCCTTTCACCCCAGGCTACACGGCGCCCTCCCTTCCCATCTCTGTCCTGAAAGAAGAGCCAGCCTCGTTCCCATCTCACCTTCACGGAGTAGGCCAGGGAAATGGTGACAGCCAGCGGCAGCCCCTCTGGCACAGCCACCACCAGCACAGTGATGCCGATGATGAAGAACTTGACAAAGTACTGGATGTAGATGGGAGTGCACTCGGGCAGCCACGCTCTGCGGTGGATCACGAAGTTGTCAATCACAAAGTACAGGATCAGGATGAGAACCGTGATGGCAGACATGATGAGGCCTGTCCGGGAAACAAGTCACATGAACCCAGGCTCCAGGGCCTTCCCGGGGCCCTAGCCAGAGGTGGGCTGGCAGAAGTTAGAGGCTTTGCTACCAGGGTTTAGAACCACTCCCTCTAGGGAGTCGTACCCAGATCCCCTATCCATTCTCTGTTGCTTACACATCACCATGCAGGGAAAAAGATGCTGGTTTTGTCTCCCACAGACACAGGCTCTAGTCTCGGCCCTGCGCTAACTGGACTCGTGGCTTTGTGCCAGGTTTTGTCCCTCTCTGGGCCTGTTTCCTCATTCATAAACAAGGAGGTGGTCTAGTTTTCTTTTTTCTTTTGAGCAAGGTCATCTAATACTTTATGTTTTTTATTTATATTTATATTTTTAAAAATTTACATCCAAATTAGTTAGCAGATAGTGCAGCACTGATTTCGCGAGTAGATTCCTTAGGGCCCCAGCCCATCCCCCCTCCCACAACCCCTCCAGCAACCCTCAGTTTGTTCTCCATATTTATGAGTCTCTTCCGTTTTGTCCCCCCCTCCCCCGTTTTTATATTATTTTTGTTTCCCTTCCCTTATGTTCATCTGTTTTGTCTCTTTAAGTCCTCATATGAGTGAAGTCATATGATGTTTGTCTTTCTTGGACTAATTTCACTTAGCATAATACC